TCTATTGATTGACATGATCATATCGTTTTTCTTTTTAATTCTGAATATGTGGTGAATCACATTTACTGACTTGTAAATGTTGAACATCTTTGCATCCCTGGAATAAAATACACTTGATTGTGATACATTTTGTTTTTGATGTGCTGATAAATCTGGTTTGCCAGTATTTTGTTGATGATTTTTACATTTATATTCATCAGGGAGATAACCAGTATCACAGAATGAGTTAGGGAGGTATCCCTCCCTCCTTGGTATTCTGGAATAGCTTCTGTAAGACTGGTAATCTGCTCTCCTTTGTAGATATGGCAAAACTGTCCTGTAAATCTCTCTGGTCCTGGGCTTTTTTGTTGTTGGAAGGTTTTTACTATTGATTCAATTTCCTTACTCATAATTGGTCTGTTCAGGATTTCTATTTCTTCCTGATTCAATCTTGGTAGGTTGTGTGTTCCCGGAATTTACCTATTTCTTCTAGGTTACCTAGTTTGTGCACATAGAGATGCTCATAGTAACCCCTGATGAGCTTTTGTATTTCTGTTGTATCAGCAATACTGCCACCTTTATCATTTCTGATTGTGCTTATTTGAATTTTCTCTTTTTCCTTCATTAAACTAGCTAGTGGTCTACCAATTTTGTTTATCCATTCAAAGAACAAACTCTTCACTATGTTGACGCTTTTTATCACTTTTTTTGGTCTCAATCTCATTTAGTCATTCTCTTTGTTATTTCTTTTCTTCTGCTAGTCCCTTTGAGTCTGTAGTTGTCTTTTGCCATTAGGAGGGTCTCTGGTAGGCAGCAGATGGTTGAGTCCTTCTTCTTTTATCCAGTTTGCTAGTCTTTATCTTTTAAATGGAATATTTAGGCAATTTATGTTCAAGGTTAATATTAATGTGTGTGTTTTTTTCCCATCATAGTTTTGTTAGCTAGTTGCCTTGGAGTCTCAGTTGTGTAACTGCTTTATTGGATCTTTGAGGTTTCTACTTACCTGTGCTTTTATGATGGCAAGTATTATCCTTTTACTGCCATGTTCAGAATTCCTTTGAGCATTTCTTGTAAGATGGTGTAGTGGTGATGAATTCTCTCTATGTGTGCTTATCTGGGAAAGACTATTTCTCCTTCATTTATGAAGCTTAGTTTGGCAGGATATAAAATTCTTGGCTGACATTTTTTCAAGGTGCCCAAAAATAGGCCTCTAATCTCTTCTGTTTTACAACATTTCTGCTGAGAAGTCTACCATCAAGATGATGAGCTTCCTTCATAGTTGATTTGACACTTGTCTCTAGCTGTCTTTAAGATTTTTCTTTCACATTGACCTTGAATAGCCTAATGACTATATGCCTTGGTCATGTTAATGTTGTACAGTATTTTTCAGGTACTCTCTGAATTTATTGTATCTTGATATCTACATCCCTGGAAGATTGGGAGATTTTCCTATATTATTCCCTCAAATATTTTTCCAAGCTTTTTACTTTTTCCTCTTCTCCATCAAGAATGCCTGTAAGTCGTAGGTTTGGTAGCTTTACATTATCCCACATTTCTTGAAGGCTTTGTTCATTAAAAAATTATTTTTTTCTTTGTCTGATTGGGTTAATTTGAAGACTAGTCTTCAAGCTCTGAAATCTTTCTTCTGGTTGGTCTAGTCTATTGTTAAGGCTTTCAACAGTGTTTTGATGTTCCTTCAGCAAATTTATCATTTTCAGATGTTCCATTTGCTTTTTAAAAATATATATATCTATGTTATCTTTCATTTGTTAGATTGTTTCTCTAGTTGGTTTGGTTTTCAACTTTCTCTTGGATCTCACTGGGCTTCTTTACAGTCCATATCTTAAATTCTTTATCTGTCACTTCAAAGTTTTCATTTTCATTAGGATTCACTGCTAGAGAGCCAATGTGGTCCTTCAGGGATGTCACAACATTCTATTTCTTCATGGTGCTGGACTTCTTGTGCTGGTTCCTTCTCACGTGTAGAAACACTTATTTTTGGATTGATCTTAATTTGGGTGGGATTATTTTTCTTTGCCTCTTGAGGGTGTGACTCTTGCGTATGTTGGGTTGTGTCCTTTGGCTTTGCTTATGTGCTTTTAGGGGGCCAAGGCTCTGTATAAATTCCTTGGTTATAGATAGCCTTAGTGTAGTCGTTTTCTCAAATGTTAATTGTTTGTAGTTTGTAGTAGTGGAGCACTGTATGTGTAGAAAGGTTCACTGTCTCCTAAAGAGACGCAAAGTTGGAGGTCTTTTGGGGGAAGATTATCTCTTTCCTTAGCACTGTGTACTTGTCAGCAGGAATTATATTGGGTTGTGCAGTTCACCCTACAGGCCAGCAGGTGATGCCTGCAGGGAAGAGCTGTCTAAGTGCTGTGCAATGATATCAACAGTTGTTGTGACAGGCCATGAAGTTTGACCTCCTGGACAGTAGGTGATGCTGGCAGGTGAGAGGCAGCTGCAGTGATGACAGTGGGATTTTTACTTGGCCTTTGTTGATAGGAAATACGAGGGTGTCCCTGGTGATGGGTGGGGGTGTGGAGCTCTCAGTGGTCCCATTCCATGCTCCGCTCCCAAGGCTGGCTAGAGGGGGCAAAGCTGGGTGGGACTGTGTCCGGTAAGCCTGTGATCAAGCTCTCTGAGGCAGATGGGACCTTGGTAGGGCTGTTGGGGCAGTTCTCAGGCAGCTGTAACAACACTCTAGGGAGGGGTGGAGGCATCTCTCCTGTGCCATAAGAGTTGGTTCAGGGTAAGAGGGCTGGCCCTGGGTTTTCATTCCAGCAGATGGCCATGGGGCCCACCCAGCTTCTACACCCCTGACTGGTGGGTCTCCCTCCAGTGTCCACCCTGGCAGCCGGCCCAATTGGTTATGCAAATCCCAAACCACCTGTGTCCAGACTGCCATGCCATTCCAGGCATTCCAGAATGCAAGGCTTCCTGCAACAGAAACCAAGGCTATGAGGCTACACCCTTCCTAGTCTGTTCTCACGAAGGGAGGAGTGCCCAGCTTCTCTACCACCTGAAAAACCCGCACCACACTCTTCTCTGTGTTCTGACAGTGGGGGTTCCTCCCCTGCTTAAGATCAGGCCACAGATCTCATCCCCATATTCCTGGGTGGTATGCTTGAGTCCTGGCAAACTGAGACCAAGCCAGTGGATCTGTCCTCTGGCTCCTTAGGATCAACCACTGGCAGTGATGGGAGGAGTGAAGTGTTCCCAGGTAGCAATAAACCACTCAGGTGGGGCAACGGAGGCTATGCTGTGGGTCCTACTCCACAGCAATGGCCAGGCAGGCAATCTTAGGAGGGACTGGCAGGCATGGTCATGTGTGGTTTAGATTCACCTCAGTCCTGCAGGAATGGTGGTGGATCCTGAATTGGGCATGTGAGCATTCATGGGCCCCACTCTATCCCGGCCTGGCAGACAGCAGATGTAGCTGCTTGGGCCTCCCTCCCTGTAAAATTCTTTTTCCATATTGCACCAGACTTATTTATAAATTACATTAATGATGTTCTTCTCATAACTTCCATGATAAGGTTCAAATTCCTTGACACAGTACACAAATCACTTCATATTTTTTCCCTTGTTTACTTCTCTGATCTCATTTTCTGTGACCACTTTGCTCAAGTGTCTGTGGTTTCATGTGTGTTGCCTCTTTTGCCTGAAACACCTTATATTCACTCTACTTTGCCTAATTAACCTCCATTGGTCCTTAAGAACTAAAGACCAATTCTGTTTCACTCAGAACTCTTCTAGGACTTCCCCTTCCTTCTCTAATTCGGATGCCCCTCCTTGATGCTGCCACATAATGTATACCTGAATAAAACTACAATGTATGTGTGACTTATTTATCTCTCTTTTCCATTAAGCCCTATATGCATCATTCATGCAGAGAGTCTTATCCACAGTTGCAACCAATTTCTACAGAGGTTGCTGAATGGACAAATGAACACTATAAAATGAGAGGGCTGATCTACATTATTTTCAAAGTCCCTTGTTAACCATTAGATTTGTCATATTGTAGAAATCTTAACTTCTGCCAATCTGTGCCTATTATCTGAGCTTTTATCTATACTTCCACATTTCATTATCCAGATGATATCCTGACCTGCATGCCTGACCCACTTTTCCAGATTTTAGTTTTGATATCTTATCTAGATGACCTCTTTGAACTTGAACTCTTGCTAGGAAGCTTCTCCTTTGACTGGTCTTGGATTTGAGTTATTGCATGCACTTGTTTACCTTTTCTGCATGTTCTTGTTCCTGATCCCCAACCTCTCGAATTAATACTATGCCACTTCCATATCTTATTTTTGTATCACTGGTGCTTACCCTGGCAAGACAGGCTAAATAATTTAATTAGTTTATTAGGAAAAGTAGAAAGAAGAAATTTTAGAGCTAGAATAAAAGACTAAGTCCAATTTCTCCATTTGATAGGTGAGGAAGAAGATTAAACTTTCATTGTTTACTCATTAAAAGTGCAGCAAGTAGAGGGTCTCCTTACTTTCACTGCTCCTTCCACTCAGCCATGCTTTGAGTAAAAGTAAACATATAAAGTGAAAAAAAACCCCACCTTACTTAAAGGATTCTGATGTATGTATAAAGAGGCTTACAAGCACTAAAAATACCTCCATGATTTATATGTGTTTGGGATTTTTGCACATTTAATTATAATTTCACTATATCAATATAATATTTATTGGTTTCTAAGTACAGTATTCATTTGGGGTTACAATAAAAAATTAAAGGTAGGTTCAATTATATCAACAATATTTGGAAAGTTTGATCCTGGTTAGTAAATTCTACTAAATTTCAATAAATTATATGCATTGTAAATATGGTCAAAATAACTTTCTTACTCTGCTTCGTAATCTACTTTTTAGTAAGTAGGACACCTAATATTTATTGATAGCCAAATTTACTATTGATTTAAAACTTTTCATCCAATTTATCTTTTCCATTAATATATAGTTTAAAAACTAATCATGAGAATACAATATTACCAAAAAAATCAGACTTACTGTCATCCTCCCAGCAGTTCTTAGCATTCCCTTCTCTTTCACTGCTCCTCCCTGGTAACACTGTCTGGTCTGTTGGCAGGTCATCCTCTGGTACACCTTCACAATCAGCTGCATCTGTAACACTTTCTTCTTCCACAATATGGAGTTTGTCTTCATCATCTGAATCTGAATTTGTTTCTACCACAGTATTATAATTTGTAACTGTAATACAAACAAGAAACAAATAATCAAAACCAACTAGTAAAAAAATCAGTTTTTACATCTCACAAAAATAAAAGTAAAAAAGATACTTAAAACAGATTGTAATTCAATAATGTTCTTTTAAACAATAATATGTAAACAACTAATTTATTTGACAACACACATATATAACACTAGATATTACATGACCAAACTGATGAATAGTAGCAACCCTTATTGAACACTTACTATATGTAGACCTGCTTTATAAATACTAACCCATTAAATTCTTACAACAATCTTATAACAGCCTTATGAAATAAGAGTTGTACCACTTACTATTTATATCCTTGTTTTATAGGTAAGAAAATCAAGGCAGAGAGAGACAGTAACTTGTCCAAGATCACAGCCAGGAAGTGGCAGAGCCAGGATTTTAACACCAACGGTCTGATTCCATATTTCGTGCTCTTAAACTCTATATTAAACCTCCCCTCCAATGATAATGAGCTTACAGCATACAATATTGCTTATGTACCATTAGGGCTTTGAATCCTTAAAGGATTGCAACTTAAGAAAAGAGGCCATCTTTCCTAACAAAATAGCATTACATCATCAAGTTTACCACAAGTATTTTTAAGTCCTCAATAGACCCATGCATGACATTATTAATCCCACACTGACTTTAGAAAGAATCAACCAATTTAGTCAATTTCTACGTAATTAAGTTTGTCATTCTGGAAAACTGACATTTGGAAGTTTTCAAATGAGCACCTTTTTCTACAATTTTTAATGAATTTCAATAAAATATAACATCAGCATTTTAAAGATATATAATTATTCTGAATGAGTTCTCCAGTTCACAGAACCAAGACTATAAGCTGAGAATAAAATTCTCTAAAATAAATAATCTAGCATAATCAATGTTTTCCTTTAGAGTCCTTGTAATAATCACTCTAACAGGATGAATATTTAGTACTTCATTGGGTATGGTCACTAGAATGTCTCTTTTAAACTACTTTCAGGGTGATTCTTATTTGCTAAGAAAAGATTCGGAAGAAGGGAGAAAAAGAAGCTTAAATTATTTAGATAACTAAGCAGTAATTATTATCATTATTCTTTCTATTGCTTTCCTAAATTTTCCAACAATTCTTGAAAAACAATCACCTAAATGCTTAAATAATATGTATACATATCCCTCTCCTCCCCGCGCCGCTCCCACACTCCTGATAACACGAAGGAAGAAATACAATTAAAAATACGGGTAGGTATTTAAAGGTGAAAACAAATAACCAAAACTCCAAAACTGCTTTTATAGACTTTAGGAAGACTCCTTGTCCAAGAGTATCAGAGGTCACCACTGTGCTCACATGTTAGGAGTTCTTCAGTATCTTGTGTCAGAAGAAAAATGTCAAGTTTTGTTATGTCATTAATATTTTAGTGTGAATATACTTTTCCAGATCTTCTCCCAAGAGTAAATGGTTTTCTCTCTTATTGTACTAAAATAATACATGTAAAATCATTCAACGCAAAACATGTAAAATAAGTAAAGGCAGCCCTATTTTTCCTTCCTCTATCCACTCCATAAAGGTAAAAACAATGGCAAATTTTATTAATTATTTCAATGCACTAAGTAGGCATGATGTAAATCATTTTATATACCTTTTCTTACTTAGTTGCAACACAAACCTCATCTTATCTTACATTTAATATAAATCCAGCATCACCTATATACAAATTTGTGTATATATAATTCAAAATACACATGATCACATCACACTGCTTTGCCACTTATATTTTGCCACTTTATAACATGTCTTGGAAGACTTTCTATGTCAGTACAGACAGTCCCTGACTAATTATGGTTTGATTTACAATGTTTTGACTTTATGATGGTGCAACACTATTCTGTTTTTCACCCTCGGTACAGCATTCAATAAATGACATGAGAAATTCAACATCATATTAAAACATAGGTTTCATGTTAGATGATTTGCCCAACTGTAAGCTGTAAGTGTTCCAGGCATATTTAAGGCAGGCTAAGCTCAGCTATGATGTTCGATATGTTACGTATATTAAATGCATTTTCAATTTCACAGTATTTTCAACTTACGATGAATTTATCAGGACATAACACCATCATAATTCATAAGCTGAGGGGCATCTGTGTATAAACTTTCTTATCTCCCTCTGGATAGTTACACAGCATTCTATTGTACAGATATACTTTAACCTATGATCTACTGATAAATTTTTTGCCTGTGTTAAGCACTAGCAAAAATGTCATAATTTTTCTTGTAAACATGTATAATTTTGGCCATTCCTTAAATATACTTATCAGATTTGTAGGGGTGAAACTATTGAGTCAAAGGGAAGACTTATGAAGTAGTTATTGTTAAACTGCCTTCCGGAATGGTTTTATGTTTCCATAAATATTACCTGAGAAGGTCTATTCAGTATATCCATATAATAAAGAAAAAAGTCACTTTAATATAGTAATGGGAAAGTAAGTGTTAAGATGGAAACAGTCATACTATCCGCAGCCACACTATAAGCAGAGTGAAGTCTGTGTGTGGGTAAGGGAAATGATTTTAAAAGCCGGGTTCACAGCTGATTATAAGAGTTTCCTGACTATAAGAGTTTCCTGATGGGCCTCTAACTCATAGTAACAGGCAGATACACACACACACACTTGGAATGGAGATGCTTACTGGCAAATGATGCACAATGTTATTAACTTTCATTTTTACTTTCAGGACTTATTAGCAACCTACTTGTTAAAGTCATTTTAAGTTGGCATGTATATATGACAAGCTAAAATTAGAACATGGTAAGTATTTGCCGAGGATTACTCAATTCTATACTCCACTGAGAGCTGGCTATCATGTAAGGTCTGGCTCACTGCAAGGCTCTCAAATATGCTTGACCAGTGAAATTGCATGCCTAGATAGCTGACATTCCTGCTGTTTTGCGAAGGGAGGCTTCTGGACATCTTTGGTATCTTGAGTTAGCCATGGTTTTATGCTGGTGCCATTCTTACCTTTTAATGATGCAATATTGCAGTTTAGCATTATATTATCAATTTTGTTAGCTGTAGGTTCTCTGGTTGACCTTGGATTGCACATTTAACACATTTATATCTAGAGTATTTTGGGCTTGAAAATTTCCCCCAAATTAGGCTTTAAGACATATATGCATTCTGGTTCAAATGCTTGCTTGCATGGTTCATATTTTTCTACTGAGTTCTTTTTAACCAGAGATACTGGGTGTTCTATTCTGCCTGAGTCAACCATAGCTCAAAGCATTGTTAAAGATTGCCTATCACTTTCTGGGACTCTAGCAAAACTCCTTACTGTCCCCTGTATAAGCTGCCATTGTAAGATGGAAGATTATGTCATATATCCAAAACACAGGGATTGTATATATTTTATAACTGTCTCGTGAATTTTCCCAGAGCATGTTTGATGTGTGTCTTTTGCTTCTGTCACTCAGCTGAGGAAAAAAACAGTAAAAACTGTTGATACTGATGACTGAAACTTAAATTAATAGTCAAGCTTACTTGTATTTCTGAATCTATCATTTTGTTTGTGGATCTACACAGCTTATTTAAAAAATGGCCCACCACCAAAAGCATACAGAGTAATGCAGGCCCTTGATAAATTCTAGTAGCCAGTGAGGGCTTCAGTTATCTAAATGTTCTGTCCAATTATCTCTATACCCCTGAACTGTTTAACCTGTGGCTGAAAATACAGTATAGCTTATCTGAAGACAGGTGATCATCACATCTTAATTCTGATTTTAATTAAAGTATCAAGAAAGCAAGGGTAAAAAATATAGTAAACAGAGTTTTAAAAATCTTTAAACATGACTTTAGATAATATGAATTTAAACTTCAATAGAACATGGTAACATTTTCAATGCATTCTTATCGTCATCAGAATGTAGTTGACTTCTTGATGGTGGTAGTTGTTGGTATTATTTGCTAATATTTAATGTCAGACACAACAGTACCCACTGCATACAGTGGTTGTGGAGATATTATGATTTTTAAATGTATTATGCTTAGATCAGTGTCTGGTACACAGTAAGAACTAGAGAAGTGTTTTCTGCTACTACTATTATCTTGGTAAATCTTTACAGCAGCTCCTAAGAAGTATTATTATATATCCCTCTGATAGACAAAGAAAAATAGAGTACCTAAGTAGCCTGTCTGAGGTTATGTAGCTACTAAGTAGAAGAGTGAAAGCCAGGTTGGGTAGATTCCACAGCCTACATACTTTGTCATGGGCAAAGGCTCCTGACTGAAAATTGTTGCACTGATGATAAATATTCTTAAATTTTTGTGTGTATACCTATTTTGGGGTACTGAAATTCCACACTTAACAATTTACCACTGCAGATATTTACAAATGACTAAACAATGCTAACCATTAGAATCTCATAATATGTGAACAGTATATTACAGCATAACATCCTCCTTATAGTCAATAAATCTTTTTTTTTTATTATACTTTAAGTTCTGGGGTACATGTGCAGAACATGCCGGTTACATAGGTACACACATACCATGGTGGTTTGCTGCACCCATCAACCCGTCACCTACATTAGGTATTTCTCCTAATGCTATCCTCCCCTAGCCCCCCATCCCACCAACATGCTCCGGTATGTGATACTCCCCTATGTCCATGTGTTCTCACTGTTCAGCTCCCACTTATGAGTGAGAACATGTGGTGTTTGGTTTTCTGTTCTTGTGATAGTTTGCTGAGAATGATGGTTTCCAGCTTCACCCATGTCCCTGCAAAGGACATGAACTCATCCTTTTTTAGGGCTGCATAGTATTCCATGGTGTGTATATGCCACATTTTCTTTATCCAGTCTATTACTGATGGACATTTGGGTTGGTTCCAAGTCTTTGCTATTGTAAATAGTGCTGCAATAAACATATGTATGCATGTGTCTTTATAGTAGAATGATTTATAATCCTTTGAGTATATACCCAGTAATGGGATTGCTGGGTCAAATGG